CATGATAACTTGTAAAAGCTATTACGGCTTAGGGTAGACCTCAACTCTAAACACTCTTACAAAACTTCCTCACCATTTTACGACCTTAGCTGTACGCTACTCAACGTGCAAATACTGACAAACTTAATCAGGGTAAAAAGACTTGGTATGACAAGTGTATCTAGGACAATTGTATTTCACACAACGAAATATGAAATTCGATAAATAAAGAGGTTGCACAACTTATCTGCAGACGTCACTGGAGGTAGGCTCGGAGAGTGTGCAGAATGAAAGCACAACGAGAGAGCGAACCAATGAACGTACGGAAGAGCCACAACTCGAAAGATAAAAGTGTATCAAACATGGGTGAGCGAGTTCAAACAAAAGTTCAAGGGTACAATGTGTACTACAAACTTATCATGTTTGAAAGTCTGTGCAAACGGCTCAGACTCTCCCTCACATCGGCAGAGAGGGTGACAGCAATGGCGTTGGCACTAGTCTGTACGTGTACATTGTAAAACAAAAATGCTAACATTCAAGATGCACCAAACTCACACCGAGTCATAAAATCCTGAAACCGACTCCCAGAAGAACTGATGTCTGCAACCTCAACTGATTCATTGAAGAAGAGCTTGGACAAGCACAGGAGTTCACTAGAAAAAGGATTAGCATAGGCTCCAAGCTTTCTATCTAATTGTGAATGTTAAAAAACTGTGGACTTTTTGAATATTGTTGGAATAAAAATTGCCCATGACGTAGACGTTCTGGAATAAACCGGCAATAAAAAGTTCAGGAAAAGTGTGATTAGTATCACTCAATAAGGTGAGGGGAAACCATATAGTGTTATATACACTCTTTTGTAGAATCTTCATTTTATTGAGAACTATTAAGCCACTTTAGGGTAACTGTTATTAATTGGCAACTATTTCAAGTTGAATTGTCTCACAGTCTTCAAGTTTCTTTCTGGTGACTTTTATGTGCTATTGTTTTTAAAGAGTTACAAGGGGAAACGCTAAAGTGACAAAAAAAATAGGACGACGAGGTGACGAATTTAGGACTTCCCTTTGAACCATTGGTAAGGCGGAGTTCCTGCTTATTTCAACCTTTTCTGAGATTTTAAAGTGATAAGCGATTCTTCAAATAGAATGTTATCCGAAGGGATTAAAAATTATAAGTATGGGAGTGCAAATGGAAAACCTAATTAAGCTGTTATTTAGGTGTCTGATATAAATATGGAAAACTTACTAGAATCGCCACTTAGTTTTAAAGACTAACGGACAGCGTTTGTCTGAAGTTCAAATTTCAGAGGATTTAGAGTGCTGATAATGCTATCGGTTAGTTACAGCATACTAAACGTCGTTTGTCTAATCACCCAATAAACTAGCAATATACCTTAACTTGTAAGTACTAACACCAAAACGCAAATCAAGAAGACTCGGTTAATTACCAATATATTCTGATGGGCAGTTAATTTAAATTAAATAAAGAGTTAAGATTATTTAAAGAAAAGGATTTAGAATATATCTAGCTAGTATGGCTGTATTGTGGACTCATAGAATGGGCATGTTAACAGCACAGGGAAAAAAATCCAGGAATCGCGTTTCAGCCAGTCTGTTTGTGTACCCGTTGAGAAAAACACAGGGAGGCTACACTACGTTTTCATCGTCCTAAATATGAAATGCATATTTTAAGATCTGTGCTGTTGGGTAGTGATGTCAGCTTAGCTAACTAGAAATAGCGCATAAACAAACAAAAGTAAAACGACAACATACCAATTGGAGTGGCTATTCAGCCAGTCGACTTAAACAATTTAGGGTCAGCACCCAGTAATGAATCACAGGTAAAGCTGGCTAGTAGTTTCATGGGATTATTTGACACTACAAAACTGTACTACTTACTCAAGCAGACATGAACTTAAAAAAATTTTAAACAGTACGATTGATCTTAGAGGTAATAAGTTTGAACTCCCTAGATGAATTCCTTACTAAAAGATACTTCAGCAAGGCTAATTTCCTTTTTGCTCTCTAGCAGTTGATAATTAGTGTTTCGCGTTTACAACTGTGAATTATAGTAAGAGTCTAGTAATATTGTTAGTAATTGTGTGATAGAACGAATACACTCCACTGAATCGATGTATATTTACCGCAATGGCTAGCGATCATCTACTACCTGTTGTAAATTAGTAGTATATAATTAATTTTGAAATTTCTATCACTGCACAACATGAACTAAATTACTCACAAATCCTGTTTCGATTCACTCACTACGTGATATTTTCAATTGTAATTCGAGTGAAAGGTGTGCATTTTCAGTAACCTGCACCACTTTTAACTATTAAGCAGAGATTAAGTAATTCAGATAACACTGATTTGAGTTCACTTAAAACTATGGTGTAACAGAAACCCAAGGGAAATGTTATTCTCAAGATATTGTAGAACGTTCAAGAGCTATTTCTTCAAAGTCAAACTAAGAATCTGAAATCCGTCAAATATTTTGATTTACCTTTAAAGTAAAATTATTAATTGGATATTTCGTTTGGATGCTGGTTTCCGTTGTTTAAATCGTCTAGTTTTACTGCCTCTTTGATAAATTTACTATAATACCATTTGTCGGCTTTGTAATTTGTTAGAGGAAAAGATTTTTGATTTTACTACGTCACCTTACTTGATATATGCTAATGGGGGTATTAATCATTTTGTTTCAAGTTAACTTTCGAAAATTAATCTGATGCTCACTGGTGACTTACAACAGAGCGAAGCTCTCTGAAGTTCTAGTGGGAAGTCGTGTACATTGGAGTTCACGAGTTCAGGTGTCGGGACAAATAATCAGCAGTGATATTAGCTGGCAGTGGCGGAATACGGCAAAATGAGAAAATTTAGAATTCATAAGCCATTCAATCCAGTTGCAATTGCTGAATAGTCAATGAGCTCACCGTGTAACCTGAAAGTCCTCGGTTCGATCCCTAGAGGGGTCGTTGGTGGGCGCTGCTGAACAGTCCCAAACTAGGACGGAATAGCCGTCCGCTACTCTATGGTTTCCAATGACTTCTGACTGCTGTCAGTGCGTGATAGAAATTCAAAGAGATAAAGATAACATTGGATAATTTGTCATATTAATGAACAAAAGTGAGGTGAAGATAAAAGTATTCCCAAGGCATTCTCAAGCACTGTATAGTGAACGGCGAAGCACATATTTCATCTGTGTAAAAAGCCATTAAACACCTTTTATTGAACCAAACGTAACATTTTAATTGATGGCAGTATTTCTCTAAGCATGCAGTGTAACTGATTGCCTCTGTTCTGTCCTTTCAAGAAGTCAGAAATGAAAGGGGGCAGTTGAAGTCAAACAATAAAAGCCACTCTGGTACGCGACTTTCTACAACCAAGTGAGGTAACAGATGGTATAACCAAATCAAATTATGCCTTCTGTTCTGGATTTGCTTAATGAGTTCTAGGAAGACCCTGAGTGAGAATAATAATGGATTAACTGGAGTTACTAAGACATTAATACGCGGGGTAGGCTTGACATTTTTGGAGGAATGGGATTTCGGGGTAGACTGAAGAACAGAACCAGATATTTAAAGTGATCCTAGAACACCATGATCTATAGTCACGTTTTTAATAATCTTGAGACTTACATATTTCCCTGATTCTGATTAGTTGTAATGTCGATCGAGGGGGTTTAGCTTCTCCTGAAAGTGTATTGACGATTGCTTAGAAAGTCAGCCCAAAAGTGACTGAAATTGCTATTTCATTATTTGACATAAAAATAGAAACTTAGGAGCAAGGTGAACAAACGGAAACGGTAACTGGTGGTTTACTTTCTTGACCCTCTAAATAACATTTTCGCCAAATATTGCAGGACAAGGTGAGGGTATTAAAAAGTAATGTAGTTAGTTGGAGATAGAGGTTAACCACTGAAGCTTTGTTTATCGATTCAACACCGCACACGTACAATCGCAATGACGCAACGCCTATACCAGAGATATGGAAAGCGGCAACAAACAACAAAGGGAAGTTGGAGAGATGGAAAGACAGAAAATACATATATGACAAATTGTGAGGATATGTGACTAAATTGGTATGATTATGATCAATTATGCATGCTCGAAACGTCATCCACTTGTTTATACTGCATCACTGTGTAATTATTAAAATAAACTTATCTAATATGGAATTGTCGTTTTGGGGGTCCGTAAGAGTATTCATTAATCTCAAGTGTTACTTTGTAGGGACTTCATTGATTTTAAGGTTTGATCACAAACTGACTTCAGCCAGAGGCCTATTAAAAGCCAGTAAGTACTGCATAACTGTTTCTCCCTTGTTTTGGACTCCTGAGTGATGTGCATTTTATACAAAATCAGTACCTCCCAGGCTACAAGACAAGGTGACTGGCTATTCAGTTACCGGAACGGAATTAATAAATTCTAACTACCGTCACTTTGCGATATGATGTATAAATAGTTCGAACTCCAGCCAGTATCATCAGTGGGTATTTGTTCTCACACCCAGCTTGGTGGATCCCAACAGTTACGAATTTCCTACTAGAACTTCAGGATACTTAATCCTGTGATGAGTCATTAGTAAACACTGGACTGATTTTTGAGTACTGCTCTAATTCTATGAATAATAAAATTATCCAGGATACAAAATGGAGAAAAAGTATTCGTAAGTATTGACGATCGATGACGTCTTCTATCAAAAAAGAAACTTAACTGTGAATGCATTTTTTTTCTAAAATCACATATATATATATTACTATTCACAAATAAACAACCAAACAGGCAAACAAATAACTTGAAATATTATGTCATTAATACTACTACTACTACTACTACTACTACCACCCCAACAACGAGTACCCATCTTCCAGCAGTCAAATACACCCATACACACACGCGCACACACCCACATCCACAGTCTGTGTATCTGTATCGTATCTGTAAAATTTTTTACACCGTTAATACTGTCAAAACAAGACACTTTCATAAGCAATATATATATATATATATATATTCTTTTCAGTGAAAAGGAGTGATGTTTAAATTCGTGATTTGTGTGTGTCTATTTGATATATATAAAATTATAAACACGTTGACAATGACTGCTATAAAATAAGGAATTTAAATCATATTGCATACAACAGCATGTGTTGTATATTTTAGGGTATATGCGTGTGTATAGATGTTGAATTTTGACTCATTGAAGAATGACTTATTACTAGTTATATATAGGGTAGTGAGAAGTGCGACAAGCAATCAATAAAACAAAACAAATAAACAAAAGACAAACAAAATGTATATACCTTTATGCGTGAAATAATAATAATAGTAATAATAATGAAAGTATTCATAAGAAAAGATGATATTAAAAAGAAAATCAATTTAACAATCATTTTATGAAAACAGAAAGGAAGAAGAGTTGTAATTCAGTCTGTGAATGATGATGATGATGACGATAAGCCAAATAAAATACAATAAGGTATTCATAGATTAAAATAATAATAAAAAAAGACTATATAGAAATATGTGTGTGTATTTTAGTCCGTTATATAGAGTTAGTTAGGGAGACGGTGAAAATAACGATAATATTCTGCAGGAAGATAAAAGAAAGTAAGTTAGTTAGTGATATGTTCGCATATATGTGATTCTTAGATAAAGGATAATTATATCTGTTTATAAAAAAAAGTGGGAAAAGGAACCAGTCAGAATCACAGTCACAACCCAGTGTGGCGTATTATTTTGAAAATCTCTCCAAATGGTGAACCTTGAGCATATTACATATATATGATTATATATATCAAAGTGAAATACTCCTTGTTTAAAAATTCCTATTTCGAAAGTGAAACTGAAGAGAGAGATTCAAACAATTTGTTCAAATATTATAATATTACTTATTGTGATATGCATAAATAAAGCGGTAACAAATATTGATCAATGAATGTTTTAATTTATTTTATTTTTGAGATTCGAAATAGATTGCTACTTTTGACATTTCAATAGTAAAATTTAGAATAAAATATTCATAATACTAATGTTTTTTTTGGCTTTTTAACGACGAAGTTTAACATAATTTGATGGAAGCATACCGAATTTTCCAGTTCGTTGAACAGTACCATACATCCAACCCTCTGAGATGGGTTCACCATTCACGATAACATCTCCTGGCTTAAAGCTTACTTCATCATCGTCTTTAGCTTCATAGCTGTACTGGGCGATAAATGTCTAGAAGGAGAAATTGATTAATACAATGTGTGATTATCGAATAGTATTTAAAATCTTTACAAGTATTGCTTTGAACAGTAAAGTCAGAGAACTCGCATGTGTGCACCGAAAATCATTTCTGACAGGTGACTGCAAACTCTTACCAACAGCCGTCTTCACTCGATATTGAAAATTGGATGGTTAGCAGGAGAAAAAGCAACAAAGAACCCTGGCAATGAACCAACTAAGAACCTATTGACTAACAGATATGCAGAAGGAAATGGAGACAGATAGGAGTTACGCTGAAGAGGTTGTTAAATGATATTACATTTTAGGCCCTCAAGTAGAAACGAATAGTTAAGCGTTTTATGAAGATGACAATGAGGAGAACAATTTGATTAGGAAGTGAGAGGTTACGCACAGTAGTCGAGTCAGCTAACACTGTTCACAGAGACAATGTGATGTTGAAGCCCTGTGTCCCTCTCGGAACTCAAGAGACCAATAATAAAAAAAACCTGAAATTTCATTAGTATTCAAATAGGCTGATTTCAGAAGGACTTAAACAGAGTTTATCATATGGTTTTAATATTTACTAAAAATGGAATTCATAAACAGGATTTTATGTAGTATGATGTGCTTTAGATGAATGCGCCTTTATCTCTGATATTTTGATACCAATCGTGGTAATTGCAGTCAGTTTTTATTCAGCTTAACGGCTCCATAATTTATTGAGATTCCTTAAGTGAAAGTGGTTGTGTTTTGACTGATTCCCTCTGTGTGCTCACATCTTAAAATCCAACATTAACCAGGCACATGTATGTCCACTTGATCGAACTAATTTCATTGCAGACTTTGTGATGAATCGAAATCAGTTAGAAATAATTTGGAAGCCTAGGTGTGCCGAACGACTGTTTCGTCCTAGCTTTGGACTCTCCATGAGTGTGTAAACACGACGCCAGAGGTTAAAGATCTGGAAATTTCAGGTTACAGGGCCAAAGTCTCTGACCATCAAGATACTTTGGCCCAAACTCAAGGATTCGTAGATTCTAACTATGTCAATCCATAATATGGTACTACCATCAACCGAAGACATTGATGAGCATCCGCTTCATCTCGACATGGTGGACCCCATTGGGTAAGATTTCTCATTACCAGTGATTATCTGAGTGGTGTTGGTTCACGACAGAATCTACATTGAAACTTGTATACTGATTATTCCAATTTGTTTTTCCTAAATGCTGGGTAGGTAATTGCTTTTCATTATGATTTCACTTAAGGTAGTTAAGGGAAACGAGAAGATCTTAACATTTTTTTGCATTTTTTTTAGACTAATCATCAGTACAAACAATGAACAGTTCACATGATTATAAATTAAATTCAATAATGAAAATATTGCAACCGATTGATGAGTGAGTTTTGAAATAAATACAATCATATGTGATATCGACAGTGGATATTTTACATTTTAAATTACGTACACACCATCGACTCTGGAAACTGATGACGAATGAGTATCTCAGTGGTAAGATTCCTATTTCCAAACTCACTTATCCCAAGACTATTTGAAAATATTAAGCAAACATAGCAGATTAATATATGTGTAAAACTTGAGCACTGTGGTAGTAAGTAATTCCATATTAGTTTGTTTATTAGATATATCACACAGTGAAACAGTATTATTTACTGGATGACGTTTTGAACACGACGACACCAAAAATAAGGAATCTAAATCATCAGTAGTAATTTCATACAAGGAAGGAACTTCGGAAGCCTTACGCAGAATTCTTAACAAGGCAGGAATAAAAGTGACTGGCATTCAAACCCACAAACTCAATCAGAAACAAGCTTTGTCGGTCAAAGGATCAGTCCTGTGGAGCCTTTAAAACAAGACAATTTAGTTTATCCTGAAATGATTGTCAGGTCAAATACATAGGTCAAACTAGTAGAACAGGGGCAGTCAGACTAGCCGAACATAAAAACGTAGCAAAATTTAGATTGGTTGACCCAAATAAGATAAGAAATCTAGAGAATAGTTCAGCTATACCACTCACTAAGTGCAGTTACACACAACCATACAATAGGATGGGATAGGATGACAGTTTTAAAATCTTATGTCACAGGGTGGAGGGAGGGAGAGAGAGATTGATAACGGAAGCTTTGTTTATCGAATCAACTGCAAATACATGTAATAGGAATGATTCATCACCTGTCCCTGATATCTGGAAAATTCTACTACCCTACGACAAATAGGAGATAAAAAGGAAACTATAAAACTTAAGTTTGGAAGTCGTGTGATTATAATTGATGAGATGATTATGAACCACAATAAAATGTCTTCGAAACTGTGTCATCCAGTAAATAATACTGTTTCACTATGTGATATATCTAATATACAAACTAATATGGAATAACATAGCAGATAACACTAGATATCAAAAAGGCCTATGTATTTAGGTTGTAACGAGTAATTTATTGATTTATCATCATTCAAAGCTCAAAGTTATTTGCTATTAAATGAAGACTAAATCCCAGAGGTATGACAATGTTACAGTAACTACATGGCATTATAAAAGTGCAATAACAACATATTAATATGTACAATTAAGACTTGAGGCGTAAGTTTGAAGTCATCCCTGAATATGAAATGAAGTTTTGAATTTGTATAATTGTCAAATATCTGTTCAAAAATTCTGCACAATTAAAGGTATATACACAAACAAAAGTTATATTACTAGTTTATAACGTACCCCACCAAAACCTGAGTTGTTATGATGTATATGCGGTGCATTGTTATGGAAGCTATAAAAAGAATAAGCGAAAACATTGAAGACTTTAATTAAGAGACCTATCATTCATACTGTGTAAAATATGAATTCTTTCTCATTGACTGACTTTATGTTTAGACCCAATAAAATGGTAATGACAGAAATAACTGATCATGGAAAACATCCATAAGGACATTAGAAAGAAGAGAACACGAAGTTCAAGAAAGATATCTTTTCGGTGATTTCCTTTTCAAAAGCTGTAGAATCGCATTTAAATACATAATTTTACATGGATACAATTCGTGTTTGATTCCACATAATTACGACGACGAATAAAAAGTGACAATTATTTTCAATTGGATATAGTCTACGAGAGGTTTAAAAACAAAATTACACAGGATTAGAACGGATAACAAGTGTGTAAAAATGAGCATGGAAACAAAATTGAAATGATAATTTTCAACTTGAGATGGGGAGTTAGAAGGTGCGAATATAGATTACAAGAGCCTCATAAATAAATGATACGGAAAGATGAATAATCCTGTTTAAAAGTCAACTATCGGCTGAGAAATGTATGATATTTCCAACAATTATTCAACTCAAGGTCTTTAATAAAGGCCAGCAGGCTGAGGATATAGATATATATGGAGAACGTTTTCCGTGGGACCGTGAATATTTAGAAAAGTATGAAAGATAATTTCAATTCAGTAAGCAATTACTGAAGATTCACTAGGAATGAAGAAAGCCTAAAAAAGTGTCCAAGGTTAGGCCTAACCACAACAATCGTTTTCGTTATATGAAAGATTTTTAATTATTGTTTCTTTTATTTCGGTTATCGGCCAACGTGTTCACCACGTCCGCTCACACACTTTCATTTCCTCTTCACATGACCTCCTTCATGTCACCGTCACACCGACGACCAGCTAACTCGCCACCTCCCATTCGGGTGCCACTCGAGCGATGGCTTGATGTGTGGTGTCACTCACTTGATGGTTTTCTCAGGATATGGTCAATCCACCTCCATTTCTTCATGCATATTCGTTGCACAGTTGGTTCTTGCTGGGTTGGTTCGCTAATTGTCAGAGATCCCTCACTGTTGCTGGTTTTTTCTGGACATCTGGTCTTGAGTATTGAGCGAAGATAGCTGTTGATGATAGTCTGTAGTTTGTTCGAAGTGCCCTTTGTGACGCGCCAAGTCTCTGATCCGTATAGTAAGTAGCACTGACTTTAAATCGGAGTTGAAAATCCGGATCTTATTTTTCCTGCTGGATGCTGTTTATCTCCCCACAGACTTGAGAGTAATGAAAGCTTGCCTTGCTTCCCAACTCTCGCTTTGATATCCTCATCAGTTCCGCCTGTAGTTTATAATCCTTTTGCAAATTTGTTTGTTTATTTAAGCTCAGCTACTGAGGACAGATTTTTTATGTACTAGGCTAAGAGCCACGCTTATCGTGTAAGGGTTGGTGATACTACCCACTTGTTAATTCTGAAGAAGGTTTAGAGGGATTCTGACACATCATCTATGCATTGGAAACCAAATGTTTAAGTCAATCAGTCACCCCCCCCGTCTATATAAATTTCCAATATTTAAAGAGGAAAACTACAGCAGTTTTAAAGTATAGGAGGAAGGAGCTCATAATTCATTGCCATATGATTTTAAATAGTGCTCAGATTAAGATCACTTTGAGCACAGAGCTATTTCAAAAGTAGTTAGTTGTCATATAAAAGAAAAAAAGTTCAGCAAAGAGTTACTCTTTTGATCAATATCCTTCTCAAGCTGTACAATCACATGTACATACAGTAAATTTTCATAGCGAACACAAGAATGTTTCCAAGGATTTGTCACTGAACTGTAAGTTTTAGATAACAGTTGCGTAACACAGGAAGTCTTATTCGGGTAGAAACTAAAATAAAGTGGAAATGAACTAAAATTGAAAGACAGTTAAATTTAAATCAGTTGCCTAAGAATGACTGAACTTCCAAGATCACACTTGCAAATTATTTATGTTACATTTATATGTTCGGAATGAAGCAATCTTTCTTTGCCCTGGTAACTGGATATCTTTATTCTCTATTTCATTTGACTACATAATCTTTGGCTTTAACCTCAACCTTTTGATATAGTGTAATTTCGCTTGTCTCATGTTTCTAAGATTTGAGTTGAACTCAGTACATTGTTAACTAATTTATTAGCCACTCAGCATCTTACACATCTCTCTTCTTTATTACGTAACTCCGTTACCATTGTATACATACATTTATTTTGTTTAAACTTGAACTGCCTGTGTAAAAACTATTCACGCGTAATTTTCTGAGCATTGTTCACTAAATGCGGAACCTTCTGTCAACTGATATCATGAAAAATGTGCAAGTATCATAAAACATTTCTGTACATAAACCTTATAATTTATTTAGGCTGTAAACAGCAGCTGATAAGAAGCCAACGATACAAACAATGATGGCACCATATTATTCTGCACAAACTACTGTTGTTCTTGCTTTATTCAAATTCATCAAGGGGAAGAAATGCATGAAGTTTTTTATATTCCCTCTTAAAGTTCATATGAATAAGATATGACTAACATAAAGTTTTGAAATATGTTCCAGTAAGTTGTAAAGTGAAGCTCCACATTACTTCACTACACTACACTACACTACACTACACTGGAGAGTGATTGCCTCTAGAAGTGTATCAAAAATCATCCATTCAAATGTGACAAACTCTGTGGTAGATATTCTAATTCTTGTTTCTAATCATATAAAATGATAACGACTATCTTTAGTTATAGAGATATCTCCTTTCATGTATCACTTTTTGAAGTTGAATAGTTTTTATTACCGCAACGAATAAACACAGAAAACCATGTAGAGTGACTGACAATGCTTACACTGGATGTAGGTGTACGTTTCGATGAAAAACACATAGCTATTTAAATCTCATAGTCATTTTTTAAATACTTCTCTTCAAAAGTTATTCACATTTAACAGGCAAAATATGCTAAATCTCTGTCAATTAATGGTATAACATTTCAAAATATTATAAATAAATTGCACAGAAGGCAATTCAACATCAAACAAACTAGAAATATGCAATATTTTGAAATGATAACACTAGCTTACTTTAGATTAAGTGTTGAACCCCGAGGTAAATTGATAGTTTCTGAAGAGCCAACATTGTAATTGTTATTCACCACAGCGTTATTGTTCACACCTGGTACACCTACAGAATAAACCAGGGGGAAAACAAATTTCCAGCCAAGAGAAGAATTTAAGTTCAAAATAAGTATAGATAATTCATATATATATATATATATATATATATATATATATATATATATATATATATATATATATATATATATATATATATATATATATATATATACATATATATATAAGGTTGACTGTGACAATGCAGAAATACTATGGAAAGGTTTCCATTGATGTAAAGCCAGGTGGACTTCTGAAGCACTGTACACTTCAGCTAAGTCGAATGCAGTATTTAAGAGGAAAGGAACATACCAGTCAACCATATTATTATTATTTTTCATTCCTTGGAACAGTAGTGTTGTTGTTTACTACGTGGTGAGATTGCTATACTCAAGCGCCACCTTCTCATTTTCTCTGCCTTTCTACTGACTAGGAGGTGATTATGGGTGTGCTGACTAGAAGTCCAAACCGAAACTTCTAAATGGATGCGATTATTTCGCTGTTAAACCAACGACGTACCTCAACTATGTGACAGAGTGAAATTAGAAGAAAATACCTTTTGAACAATAATTACAATTATCACTTATGAGCTAACGTGCTTTTTGTGCAATAAATAACACACCAACATATTCACTTTTTAGGCTATTCAACTTTTCGGTAAGAAGTGACTATAATAGTAAGAATATATGAAGAATGGTCATACCTGAAGAGTGTATAAGTATCCAGCTATATTTTCTCTTCCATGAGTTGATTTTATTTTATGCATTATTTGACTACATGTTTTAAAATTTAATAAAATTTGAATAATTCTTCAAGAAAAGTTGTAGCTGGCATATACAACAACCTCTGGAAGATCTAGTTTTGATACGAGTTTAATTTAAATAATTTTATAAACATCCTTCCCCAAGTGATGAGTGTCGGAAACTTTGGTTGATTCCCTTTAAGACCGAAGGTGTAAAAGAATAATTCATTGGAATTTTCAGGTGAATTAGCTCGGAGGTATTTAATACGGTCTCAGGGTAATCAACCCGGTTTTAAAATGTGTTTAGTACCGTCTGTGAGGAGGTTGAAATAACCGTAATCTATCTTTGTTTTATAAACAAGCTTAAGAAGACTGAGGTGTCATTTCCTTAGCACAGTTTAACTGCTATACCTTTTTCAGAGTCGTGTAGATTGGATTTAAAGTAAGTTAGGTCACAATTTTATACGGATCAGACGTAGGTATGCAAGCACATCAGTAAATCCCCTACACACTTTGATTTAAAGCGCACAGAACGTGAATTTCTTAGAAGATAAAGGTTTTAGTGACGCCACATACACAGCAAACGATACAGATAGAGCCTGATATCAACTGTTTGGGGACGTATGACGAGATCAAAGAGGTAATCTCAAATAAAGGCTACTAAAAATCTAATTATCAAACGATCACTGAGTTAAAAACCTAGAGAGAATAACCCAAAAGCTCTCTATTCGATGAAGAAGTGTTTACCCATAAATGTGGGGTACATTTTCTGTGCTTCACAACCATCTGTCATTCACCACAAGTTTTTCCCCCTTTCTCAACTTCAGTATCACATTCGCCCTTTATACTGCTTTCAGAAAATGCAGTCAGTAAGCAACGCTCCATGTGAGATTTTCTTATAATACAGTTTAGAGGTAAAAAAACGTTTCCAAGTTCGTAAACATAAAGAAAAAAGGTTTATAAGCTGAAATAATTTTGAAATACAAAGGCAAGTTTGTATGCTGGAAAACCCCACTGACTGATAGATAGTAGTCTTCGTTAAGAGAAATACAGAAATTCATAGATCTTGAGATGGTTTCGACACTCCACAATACCAAAGATGAAGTACGTGAGTGCCATCACAGATCTGTCCAGAGATTCTGAAAAGAATTCAGGTTAATTAAGCAGAAACGTAGCTTAAAGTATTTTGTTCTTACAACTGGCCATAATAAAAGATCAGTCTAAAGACTATCCTCGCCTTTGAAATGCTTGATACTTAACTGACTGGCAGTATGGACTTTTGGTTTGTTAGCAGCCTAACCTGAGTAGGCTGATATTAGTGAACTTCAGTGTTGGTTAGAATTTAATAGGAGGACTCTAAGTGATTCATTCATTGAAGCATTCTTTATGAAAAAACTAGTTAGTTGGAGCCACATTTATTTTTTACTAAAGATTATGAAGCACAATACCCTTCAGGAAGTTGTATGTTATCAGCGATGTCACTTTGTTGCTATATTACTTCATGAAGCAAAGTGAGTATAATATCTGCTTCTGTATTAAAATTCAATATATGATTTAGTAGTAAGTCTGTTGATACAAAAAATATTAATTTTTTTTGGTGAAAACAACATTTCTAGAACAAAACAGATGATAGAAGTAATGTGAAACAGTTACTCAGAAAGGTGAACGCTGCTCTTCTTTAGGGTTATAGCAGCTTTGGTTACTTTACACCAAGAAAAGTTGTATACAGATTTTAATTCTTCAAGAAACTATTTCTGAAGGATATTACTGATACGGTAACTGAAAACAGTGAAGATGGAACAAAAATTCACTGGGCTGATCGCTTCAAAAAACTTTTGAATTGACTAGCACCAACCTCCTGATAACATCAGAAGTCTTGAAGATTATAAGGTTTCTGAAAGCAGGGAAGGTAGCAGGACCAATGACCTCGGAGATCATTCTAAAGCGACTATCAAAGATGGTGTGAAGGGAAAAAATACTTGCCTATTGGAATAAAGGTCACCTTGTCAACCTTGCAAAGAACGAAGATTTAAGCCTACGCAAGAACTGGCACAAAATCATGGGCCAGTCCATCCTAAGCGAAAGTATCATCATAGAGAGACTAAATACATCATAACGGGAAAAATCGGGGTGTAACAAGCTAGATTTAGGGAAAGAAAATCATGCGCAGGCTAAATTACAACACTGTGCATCATCATCTAACAGAGCTTAGTATGGAGGCCAGTTCTTTACTTCAGGTTCATCTGCTTTCAACTACCTCTGTCAGCGTTGAATGTAAAGTAATTTGGAAAGTGCTTCTCTGTCTGTCTGTCTGGATTTAACATCCAGTGCTTCAACAATACGTAGTGCAGTGTTGCCAGAAAATTCTATAAAGCTTCATTTGACTTCTGTATGCCGATGGGACATGGTAAGTAATTAACAAGGGAAAACTCGTTGAAGCCTTTGAAGTGAAGACAGGAGTAAGACAATATTGCCTATATTCACTGATAATTTCTCTGTTTGTGTTGGAGAGAGTCACGTGGTGGGCTGTGGGAAGCTAGAAAACAGGAGTACATTGGGCCGACAATAATACGCAAGAATATTTGGACTTTGCGGGAGATTTATGTCTAATGTCATACAAACTTGAAGATCTTCGAGCGGACATGAAGAATTTAGGAGAAGAAAGAATGAACACAGGACTTCAAGTGAATATAGAAAAGGTAGAAGTGGTGAAGATATCTAACCAACAACAACTAGCACCAAACACTATCACTGGAAGCAATCTGAGTGAAGTCGTGTCTGTCGCTTACCTCGTCAGCGTCATTTCATCTATAAGATGAAAGGATGAGGATATTAAGGACAGCCAGGATTGGAAGACTAGGATATATGTTAGATACTTAGTCAGCACAAGGAATAAGGACCAACTTTTCATTACATGACGAGTAGGTGCTTGTACATAGTTCGGAAAAATGAACATACGTCAATGAAAGTATTTCTAGCCAACTGCAAGCTTTCATCAACAGGTACTTTCTTCCACTGCCAAAGATCAGATTACCAACTGAAAAGGGTTGGCAGTAAGGAACTCTAGGTTGATGGCGTACATGTAGAAGGGGATGAAGATGGATTAGGCGTACAGAGAGGAGAAAGTCGGCCCCTAAGTTGAACCTGAATAGGAAGTGACGAGTTAAACGTCCGAGACGGTCTTGAAGAAGAGCATGTAAGGAAGAAATGAAAGCTTGTGGACAACCTTTTATGGTCAAATGAAAGTCCACTTGAACTCGGGTAAATCAACAGAGGTTTTAATCGTTTATGCATCATAAACATTTAAAAATCATACCGTCATACTTCTGTAAAGATGAATTAATTCAGGAGAAGTGAAAATCATTTATATCTTCTTACTAATGATAAAAAATAAGCACCAAAATGTTATGCAGTATTATTGAAAGGATAAAGTACATTAAAAACCCACTGCATCATATATATATATATATAAGACACAGTTGAAAATTTTGCTACAACCTAAGTGTTATATAAAAGCAAAACTTTCTAAACATGAAATTATTCGTCACTATAAACTGTGCAGTTATAAGCAAGCTTGCTGGTAAATAAACGGTACAACCTTTGGAAAATAACATCTATAGAGGGACTTCCTTTCACATTGAAATTAGCGCTAAAGTTGTCGTCTAGATGGGAAATGAAAGCTCTGCAATTAAACTAACCACTTCAGTAAACTTGAACACACTAGAAACTTTCCTCACTAGGCAGATTTAACAGTGAAATGAACTAATTCTGCAGAATTTCTCAAGTGATAAATTTTATGTTTTCATGAAAAGACATTAGGTTAAATACGGATATATAGAAAATACCCCCTAAAATTCTGCGATCGTTCTAATTTTAAGTATTTGACAAAAAGGTTTCAGACACTTTTTGTTTATTCAGTTAGAGTTAAGCATGATATAAATATCACCAAACGTTTTTGTCGTGATCCAGGAAAATTAAAAAAGCATTATTTGCGCAAAAAATATACCCATTAGTAAGTAGTGTTCAAAAGTAAGATAAATGTGTTTATTTTGTGCTCTTTTTTGTATATATACGCTATATATATATTTATACATACATACATACACTATGATGTTAGACTTTACCTTGAGTATTTATCGTAATCGAATGACAAGACCCAGCACGACTAAGTCCATTTTGACTTATCGGTGATGAAATTGCCTGATCATAATGATGGTGATGATGTATTGAGTCAATGTATAATGGACATCCATTATGAGCTGATGATGATCTACGGCGTATGCCTAAAAAAGTTTGTTTCATACATATATACATTGGTAAGAAGGTAAGGTACAAATAGAACTGTAGAACAATGTTACAGTTTCAATGGCAGTATGACTATGTGAAGTCTGATTATATTTGCTGCGCACACTAATAGAAACGATCAGTTGTTTGATTGGAACTTTTCAAGTAAAAGCAGTCACATTGGTAGAACATAAAGAAAGGCATACCTCCGATTTTCTGAACACGTACCAAAAAGGCTATATGTAAAGGGAACAAATGCTTTAAACAATGCCATTGTCAGGCACCTCCTTGACACAGGTCATGAAGTGAACATTGTAGGATCGTTCAAAATTATCAATAGTCAAAAGAGTTCAGTCTGCCTAAGTTTTCCGAAGCAATCTCCATCAGAGAGAAGTGGTTATCAGTCTTTCTTTGCCCTGTTAACTGGATATTTTCACCTCTCTTTCATCTGATCACGTAATGTCGGAAGTTTCCATTGTGTATGGTCATTATTGTTCAGGATAAAATGTTTATTATATATATATATAATTATTGTATGCATATATTGACTGATTTTTGTTTAAAAATGAACTCTGTGCAAGTACGTTAAAATTGTTTCTGTAGATATACTTAATAATGACTCTGGCCTGTAAGCAGATGATGAGAAGCCAACGAAATAAATGATGGTACCATTTTATTCTGCGCAAATTACTGTTGTTCTTGCTTTATTCAAATTCATTAAGGGGAATATATGTATGATAGTCAGTTAACCTGAGTAAGAATAGGAGCATGGGAAGTTAAGACATTTTTTTTAGCGGACATTTTGGCAAAACTTAAGTAAGAAAGACAGTGCTAATAGATGAATTGATTGATTTCATCAGTAAATATTAGCAATAAAGACAGTAAGAGAAAATATGAAGTTTAGTTATCAGCAGCAGTGGTTAAAGGGAGGTTGACAGAATGGCCATAAAAACATTAAGTAATCAGTTTGAATTACTTAGCATAAGTACTCCTCTACATGTTTTCAAATGCAAAAGATAGATGATAATGCTTTCAACCGATAAACACAGGAAAAATTAATATGAAATATCGATAAAGTAAGTAAGACCAGCTTTACAGGACCTCATCAGCTGCAAACTACTTGAAATTACAATAATTATAAGTAATGACAGTAACATACTTCAATGTTTGAATGGTAATAGAAAAAACACTATAGACAATATGCATACAGAAACGCAATGAAATCAATTTCTCACTCCTTTGGTAACTGCATTTCGATTACATCGATAGAGAGCATTTGTATTAGTGACTTCAGCTCACTGAGCAAGTTTCCTATTCTGCGAACTATAACCTTTTTGAGTTGCTGTGTAAGTCTATAAGCTGACACTGTTTACAAGATTATTCTGTTTTCTGTCTTCTCCTTCCCCTTCCTTTTCTGTTTTTGAAGCAAATGAATTGACGGTCACTTAAACCAAAATTGTAATGCTTATATTTCGGATGCGTTAATTTTATTATTATTTTTTACAATTTTTATTACAGCTTGGTTCCACTCCGTATTTCTGGTACAAGTATGAAATTTTCCGAATGTGATATCGGAAGCCAAAATTTTGCAGACCGACCATTGATATCAAGTGCGCGTCGGCAGGGGATCAAAACCCGGACCATGTGTATGGTCGGTGAGAGTTTTAACCGCTGTTTTCTTTACTACTATTCAAACAGTGAAGTGTGTTATTGTCATTATTTATAACCAGTGTAATTCCAGATAGTTTGCGGCTGATGAGAACCTGTGAAATAGAATGATGATATCATTTTATACTGCAAATCTGGTCTTCCTTTTTTAATCAAAATTTATCAAGAGAACCGAATGTATGAATTAATATGAAATACAGTGAGTACACATCTCTTATTCTTTCACTTATCTAGGCAGCATCGTTTCAATTGCAGGCGGCACCGATGAAGATGGCAAAGACAGGATCGGAAAGGTAAGATGGACCCTCATTAGTCTGAAGTAATTTTGGAAGCATACTGCAATCACTATAAAGAACAAGACGCATACCTTCAACACTAATGTCAAGTCGATTCTTCTGTATGGTTCACAGACTTGGTGGGGAGGAGGGTTACCAAAGGCATTTCCAACAGACTACTGCATACTCTGGTCAACAGTTGCCTTCGCTGCATACTGAAGATCGGATAGTCAGAATGTAACTGTGGCAATCAACCAGTCATAAGCCTACTGCCCAACAGATATATCGAAGAAAATGGGGAAGGATTGAACATACGCTTAGAAGACCGCTGAGTGACATCATGCGCCACGCTTTCAAGTAGGACCCGGATAGGAAATGAGGAGTTGGACGTCCAAATGTGAGTTGTAAGAGTTTGCGTGCGGGGAAGATGATGGCTTGTGGTTAAACGTAAACCTAGTTAACGACGACTGCAGGAAATAAGATGAAGTTCAGATCGCTGCTAAAGCCCTTATTCCACTTGGAACCTAGGGGAATAATAGTAGAATACCTCTGTTCTTAACACAAAAATGTCTTAATAGAAAATAAAAATAAAAATTCATCGCTAAACCCATTAAGCTGATTACTAGTAGCTCATTCTACAGATAAAGACATGTATGGAGGTCATTCCAATTGAATAATAAACTGTATTTGCACTGTAATTGAATACGGGATACTTTTGTATAACTTCAAAGCCAGTGACGAAAAGATAGATGTTTAGCTCCTCAACAATATCTGGTATACTCAGAAACTGTAGAAGGTTAATTTTTGCTTTGTTTTTTGTACTTTGTAGGACGAAACTGTTTCGCCAAATGGTTTTTGTCTAAGAACATTGTTACAGCTCTAAATTTTAGAGTTTCTACTAAAAATTCTACTGAGTTAAAGTGTGATATGCAATTAGTTTAAGGACCGCTGTGAAATATTTATATCAATGAAACTAACCTGTTGAATTTGAAAATGTATGTGGCGACGTGCAGTGATTATTTAGTCCAAGTCTAGCTGGTGGAGGTGTAACTGATGACCCACAATGACTATTGTATGGTGCTGAACCAGTGCGTGCCTCTGAAAAAAAAGAAAAAGATGAAAAGAATATCATACAACTGAAATAACTCTGCTTCTTGTATTCTGTTCAATAGCTCTGCATTACTGGAAGTCAACAAAAATAAGAAAATTTAATGTTGTTTAAATGATTCAGTAAATTTTGAATTCACAGATGAAAAAATTCACGTCACAGAAATGACCGAAGAGCAATAGAAATATGGAGGCTGTTGTTGTTTTCATAAGGATATAAGAATAAAACTTGTGCCTTGTAGTAGAGTCTAATTCCATTATGGGTAAATTTTGTTTTGATAAAGTCTCACAGTGTTATACAGTATTATTTACTGATGACATTTCGAGCACAATTTATTGCTCATAATCATATCAAGGTGAATGAATGAATGTATGAATGTCTTCAAAGGCTAACTCAGAATATTCAGTAATGATAAATAAATGTCTCAATAATTTCGACTTAGGTATTGTTGAAGAGTTTCAAAATATGACCATATACTTTAGTGCTTCTGTGGTACTCCTGTCACAATATTTCAGAAAACTATAGATCGCAATATTCGATAAGGAATTACCAGAGAAAGTAAGTCAAATGGAAGGACAAAATCGTTACAGTCGACAATTTTACTTAAGGACGTTAACAAATTGAATAACAGTTGATGCTTATTGAAAGTAAGGTTAAATTCTCAGATGGTATTTAATGAATAAACTAGATTCATCAACCACCATAAGTTATAAAATCATCAGGTAGTACTGCACATCCATGAACAGTCTAAAACCAGAATGAAGAAACTGTTCAATACTCGCTTTCTTCATATGTTCTCTAGCTAATGTTAGTTCATGACAAAATTCACGGTGAAATCAACTAAAAGTCTTTAAATTCATCATGTGAATCGAATATTATTGTGTGACAGAGTTATTACTGAGTGACTGTCGTAACTCTCAGCAAAATGTTTGATGGGTAAAGAGACTTGTTAAATAAACTTAATACTAAATTTCTTGCTTTCATTGATGAATTAATTGACTGTTTCATAGCAGAATAAATACTGGAATCCGTAACATCGTATCAGCTTCCTAGAATGTGCTGATGTCCCTTGCGAAGGGATTTTCAAAATTCACACAGCTTAAATTAAAATTTTAGTCTGCTTCCGCATAACTACACATATCATCCAGAATTGCCCAGCTAACAGATTCTATTCAAGCATTGGTTTGTAGGGAGTTGATTGATTGATTACAGGATTTCATCATGAGCTGACATTGGAAAACCTGGGAGTACTGGATAGCTGTTGCATCCTATGTCGTGAATTGGAAGAAGTTAGAATTCATAGGCTGGCCATTGAGTCGGGTCCTAGCGGCTTGATGGTCTACGAGATCACTAACCTTTTTACCAGAAGGTGCTGGGTTCCAACCGTGGTGGTGTGTGCGTGCTGGAGAAGAGTCCCAGGCTAGGACGAAGCAGCCGTCCAATACTCCCAGGTTTTCCAATGGTTCTCTAACCAATGTCAGCTCATGATGAGGTTCTCTTCAATTAGTGATATTTAATATTAATTCAACACCTTACGGAAACAAAAGAAGAATAGTAGGTTCACTGTAATCTACGCATGTCTAACTTAGTTTTACAGAAAGTGGTCAACCCGACAAGTGAAGAATGTGCAGCCAGCACGAATGGGGCTAACCATGACGATAATTTTAGTTGACGGTAGCAACAATATTCGTCTTTCGAAACTGTTGAAATTTTTAGGTTTTGAGACCGAAAGTAAGGCAACTTTTTTCGACGTAAACTGATAGTTCGAATTAAAACAATAAAGACCTCGATAATAATTACTCCAGAATAATGGGGGAAACTTAGTGTTCAGTTGTTTGAGTAAGAAGTAAGTCATAACACAGTAGTCTCTGTGATAAAATCAAGTCAGTTCGTGACCAAATTTGAGATCGATCGAATCTCTGCAAACGAACACCTGGAAGTCAATCCATTGCTCACTAGTGACTGACTACAGGATGAAGTTAATTGAAGCTCTAGTGGTAAGTGGTGACTAGCGGGGTCCAGCAAGTCGGGTACGACAACAAATACTCGCCGCAAATATTGGCTAGCGGTGGCGTCATACCTTAACAATTGGCAGAAGTTAGAATTTTTATAGGTCACTGAATTCCATCCCAATTTTGAAATGGTCAGCGAGGTCGCCTTACAACCTGAAGGTTTTTGTTTCTACCTCTGGTGGGAACATGGGCGCGCACTGCTGGAGGGTTTCAAACTAGGACAAAAACAGCTGGTCTCCAATAGTTCGCTAACTGAAGTCAATTCACTATCAAACCTGATGAACGTTCATTTGTCTTTATCACTCAAAGTTATTAATTTCATACATTACAAAGGCTGTTTTAACCACTCAGTCCACATGATTCATCATCGGTGGTTCCCACATATACAAACATGCACTTTTGGATTTTTAACAACTTTGTCGTCTTTAACTTTGGATGTTGTCCAGATAAACCCAAAGCAAAAAAATTCATGAAAGAAAAAAAATTTATCACTCAGGGGAAAATAAATCCCTCAAGGATATACTTCATATTAGAAAAATGAATTAAAAAGGATTTATTCCTCAAATAATTGACTTGTGGAGGAAATAATATCAGATTAAACATGTATGAATAATAAATAATAGTAATATTTGTGGGAAGTGAAATCTGATATATAATCATCAAAGGATTAAAAATATATCTCAAGGTAAACTCAATCATCATTTACATGATACCACAAAAGACAAAGAAACTGTAATTTAGTAGTCAATAAATTGAGAATATGTTAAGTATTTCAAAGAGATTTTATTCTATGCCTCAATTTCCTTCCAAGTGTTACTCTGGAAAAGTTGAAAAATGCGCAGTGAGTATATTAGGGATTAACTTTTCCAATTCATGCCAATGATGAAGCCTACTGAGAGTTATCAAGAGAAGAAGAACAAGTCTGTACTAATGATAAGAACAAAATAATAAGAGTAACATTCAGTTTATGGCTTTTAGTGATTGTCGGATTGCTATTCAGGCTTGTTAAAATCGTTATTAAACAATTTTCCCCAATTTTTCCTTGTGAATGACACAAAGAACATAAATTATATCTAAGCAGCATCATTTTAACTACGTATGACATGGATGACGATCTCAAGACCAGCAAGGGTCGGAAAACCAAGATAGACCTTTAGTAATCTAAAACTATTGTAGGAATCGGCTGCATTTACCGTAAGAAACAGGACTCAGATTCTCAACAATAATGTGAAGTCAACCAGTACTTCTGCATGGTTTAGAGGATTGGTACTGGCGTTACTAAGAGAATTTTGAACAGGCTATTGAAGACTTTTTGTCAACAGCTGTCTTCGCTCCATATAGAAGGTCAGATGGTCAGAAAGGAGAAGAACTAACCAAGAATCTATTGCCTAACAAATATACCGAATGGAAAGGAGATAGATCGGATACAAACTGAGGAAATTGTTGAGTGAAATCACGCGCCAACATTTCGAGTAGAATCCTCATGATAAGCGACATGGGAGAGATTGTGCGAAGAGAAGAAGAGAGATTACAGGGAATCATGAAGCCAGCTAAACAGGACGACAGAGAAGAGGAGAAAAAAGAGATGTGTTGTTGAAGCCCTATGTTCCACTCGGAACTCAAGTGAATAATTATAATACAGCTACTGACAGAAGTAGAAGGCAGTAAGCAGTGGTACAGTAACGACAAACGTCGTGCTATTCTAAAACACCATAAATACAGAATATATATATATATATATATATATATATATATATATTAAAATAAAATCGTAGATGGATACATTCACACACGAACGTTCTACCTATTAAACACACATTTACAGAACAAGTCAAAAGAAACTTTAGGATTAAGGCAGTTGCTTAATTATGGGAGCCTGTTTGAATCACTGGGCTACCTGAATTTTCCTTTACCCCAATAAATCACATTTTATGTAATTCTTATTATTTGAACTGTCCGGTTACAAGGCAAGCTCGTATACCATTCAGCCACTGGGACCCGTGACCAGTGAGGTCCAATTAGATGTTACATGTGTGGATGGATGTCCCACCAACGACAATGGTTGGGGTCGTGCTAAATCACGAATTGGTAGAAGTTAGAATTCAGGGACTGGTCATTGAATCGGGTCCCAGTGGCTGAATGGTATACGAGCTTGCCTTGTAACCGGAAGGTTTTGGGCTCGAATCCCAGTGGGTGCGTACTGCCGATGATTCCCAAACTAGGATGAAGCAGCAGCTATCTAGTAATCGCTGGTTTTCAGTGGTTCTCTAACTGATATCAATCCGTGATCAACTCGTAAAAACATAATGAGATGGTTAAGTAATAAGAGATTTTCTTATTTCTAAACGGATATGCATTGACAGCTACAACTTACCATAACGTCTATAAGGTTGTGGTGAATAACGTTCATCGAATCCAGAACTTCTTCCTGAACGAATATTATTAGCCTATGTGAAAAGTATTGACAAGTGAAATGAATAAAAGCTATTACATAACTTTAAGTCATATGTAGGCTGATAGCATGCACAACACCCATAGACATTTAATAATTGGTATATTTTATTTCAAGAATAGGAGAATTAAAGTGAATAACAGCAAATGAAAATGCAAACAAACAAGTGGTAATATTCTATAAAATGTGCAACTGAAGACTCTATATGTGTTAAGCTAGAGAAGGAAAATAAAAACAGATTGCTGGGTATGAAGCAGGATATACACAGTTAGCGGTATTTGTTAAATATTTGCCAGCTATAGAGTGAGGAGTTACATGTTTGTTAAGAGTTGTATTTTTTCTCACAAGATCGTTCAAGTTAGGGATTTGGAGTTTCAGTGGCAGTGGTGACCTTTTACGGGGTGGGTTTTTAAAACCCTTTCTGCCCAGCCGTCCCTCCTTGCTGGGCTTACTACCAACTAAACCAATTAAAGGAGTGCGTCGGCCAGGGCTCGAACCCTGGACCATTTGAGTGGTTACTTAATGGTACTTTGAATAATACCAGAGTGTTTTAAAAAAATCCCGGTAAATTCATTACAGGTGGCACTGATGAGGATATCAAAGGCAGAATCGGAGAAGAAACAGAGGCCTTTATCAACCTGAAATCATTTTGTAAATCTACTGTACTTGCGATAAAGAACAAGACTCAGATCTCTAAGTTTAATGTCAAGTCAGTTCTTCTAAATGGTTCGGAGACTTAGCGTGCATTTCCAACAGAATACTGCAGACTTTTATCAACAACTGACTTCACTCTATGCTGAAGATCAGATGGCCAAAAAGGAGATCCAGCAACTAACCAGCCAAGAACTTATCTTCAAAAAAATAACCTAAGTAAAGTGGAGACGGATCGGCGACACGGTAAGAAGACTATTGGGTGACATCGCATGGCAGACACTCAAGTGCAGATTTATTGAGTAGCGACAAGTGAGGCTTCCTGTGAGGATGATGTGGGGGTTGCGTGAAGAGGTAATGAGACTTTTTGGGCAATCGTGGAGTCAGCTAAAGTGGACTGCAGAAAACAGGATATAACAGATATGTACTGTTGAAGCCTTATGTTTCTTTCGAAATTCAAGGGAATAATAATGGTCTTTATACTCATAATTATACTTAATAGGCTACAGATTGAGTATTTAAACATTATGAAAACAAAATGCACATGTAGACATTGGAAACACTACAAAAGTATTTTTATCCAGTTTGAAACTTGCGATTACAGTTTTCCTCTTGTAGCTACTTAGTATTAACTCTACCTCTCGTGTGTTTTCAATAAGTTGAAATGAGCTAGAACTCTGAGACTGAACATGAACTGGTTTCAGATGTAAAACCGCTGAAAACCAAGGAGAACTCCATCTAGTTTGGAACTGTTCATCAGTGCACACCTATGAACCGAACAGGAAAGAAACCAAGGATACTCAGGTTGAGCATTCAGTCACTGGGCCAGAATCCAATGGCCTATCAATTCATGCTTCTAATAATTCGTGATACATAAAGCACTACCATTAAACTAAGTCATCAATGAGTGTTCCTTCTCACACCTTACTTGGTAGACCCCATTGTTTGGGACTTCTCACAGGAATTTTAGGAAGCTTCATCATGTACTCAATCAAAAATGAGTGTTGGACTAAATTTAAAGTGTTTACTTGCAGAGTTCCGGTTAACAGCAAAAGAAAATAGGAATTTATGACCTGTTGTTATGTAATTTTACAGAAGAACAGGCGGAAGAGCACATATAGGACTTCTGCAACCAATATTCCTGCATAATGAAGGTTATTCACTCTAGTTAGATAGTAGTTACTTTTTTATGAAGGGTATATTTTCTATATGGTATTCACCTTGAATAATGATAACATGTATCATTACTACTGCCAATACTTATGTTAGTAGTAGTAGTAGTAGTGTAATGAACCAGTGGGGTATTGACAAAACTGACAGAATATAACGATCGTAAAGTACAGTTACGAAAATTATTTCAGTATATAACAGTTTAGGCATAATCAAACTGTTACTGTCAACATCAACATGAATTTGATGTAGGCATCTGCATGTGCTTCGAATAATAAGCACAGATAATAAAATAATAATGAGATCGGCAATCATAGATGAGTGACAGCTTAGATTACTTTAGTTTAAACAAGCACAAAACGTTTCTCTCACATGACTGTTGATAAGATTGAGTACAAATCACAGTGGGAATAAGCATATGTATCATTTACTGCTCTAATTTTTTATTTTACAAAATAAAAATATGTTTTCAGTAGGTTTCAATTAATTACTCGAAAACATTTAAATTAACAAATCCTACCTACTCAAGTGAGGGATAAAATTTAGAAATATTTAACAGAAAATCTTATATAAACTTTATAAATTTTTTTTCATTTTCTGTAATAAGAACTAAGTTTTATTTTAAAAGTGAAATATCATGGGTGTTCAATGTTGAAGGATAATTAATTAAAAAGAATGAATTCGTGTTCACTGGTTGTTAAACTGATTATAAGATTCTGTCCCGCGCAAAACAATATCTGAAGCACATTTATTAGTTTTAATAAAAGATTTCGAGGGTGGGTAGAATGCTGTAGAAATAATATGTAGTGTAAAAAATATACTTTTAAATGTGGTACCGTTATTTTCTTGAATTCATTTTCGTTCCGTGTGGAACATGCTGCTTCAAGACCAGGAGTTTCAGTAGCGTTGGCATTGTTTATACAGGCACAAAAGACCCTCTTTTCTGGTTTCACTCCTGAATAATTAAGGTCTAGAAGTGCCCTGAGCTGGAGTCGAATCCCAACGAAGTGTATGTCAGTCGATCACTAAGCCACAGATACTGAATTCACATAATGATTCACTTACTGACTGAGTGACTCATACATTGATACCAGCATTTTGAAAGACGAGAGCTGTATACAGTGTCATCTTGTAGCGCACCCAGCTATAATCCAAACAGCTACAATATTAAAACTGTCGACCGAACCACACAAGAGAGTCTAAGATACTGAAAATCTACATAATTTTGCAACATGAGAAAAAAAGAAGAAGAAGAAGAAGAACAAGCTCACACCAAAACACAGAGCTCCCATGAAACAATAATCCATACATATATATAATTATATATACATATATGTATATGCATATGTATACATCATTTGTCCGATATAATCATTTTCTGTAGTCATATTCAAGTCGCTTCGTGGAAATGGTAGGTAGGGGTAAACTGCAAAGAGCTATTGCTCGTTGGAGATTAATCAACCTGATAGCATATATGAGAAAAATTGGGTTAGTTTAGCATATTTCTAAACTAGGCATTATTCAATCAAACGAAATCCAGAAAACCCTAAAAGTAAGATGATTACGCAACTACCTCATTCTTTATATATAGGGGTAAATATGAAAATAAAAACATGTGAAGGCATAAGCTCCTTTAATTTCACCAAATAACTTTTCGGCAAATGCAGATTTAATGTAATATAATTTGAATCTTTCAAGCATGTTGTCAAATAGAAACTTGAGTTCATTAACTGTCTGACTACAAGATGATTAAAAGTGTTTCAGTATTTTTTGAAAGTTAGTTTCAATGACCAATACAAACAGTATGGTGTCATCGAATATAAAAATGGAAATCTTTCCTCTACTTAATGATGAGTGGTTGATTAGAACTCAGCCACCCGGTCTCGAGCTATGAACCAAATTTGTTGTGTGAGGACTGATGATACTATTCACTTGCCCAGAATGAAGTTGCTGGAGCGGAATTGAAACCCGAAACCCGTTGACTAAACGTCGACCGCTCAAGCCAGTGAGTCATATCTCACACATTGATAGGAACAAATAAGAGTCGTATTTGATTCTGTTGTCAACCGAATCGTTGTCCAGAAGTAAGTAATTAATGCTACAGTGTCACTTATTTACTAATTGTATAATATCACTATGGGCTAGATCAAATAAATTTATTCTGTTTAGCGATTATACTATACGTACAATTGCAGATTTTATTCTGAAATTGGTTCAACGGGAATTCCTGCAATAATTGTTTTTACAAAATGGCCTTATTTTAATACACAGTTATCAGTACAGTTTTGTGTCTCATTCATACAACTGTCTTTAATGTTAGTTTAAAGCTGAAATAATGTATTGCTTGAGTCATTTTAAATACTTAACTGGTATACCTTGATTGCACACAGGGTATAACTTATCTGTTAAATGAACAAACCACATGCGAAATGGTGCCTGAAGAATTTAAGGGGCTAAGTACTTCTCATTCATTCAGACTTGAATTCTTGAGGTTTATGTAGCTGTAGGGTTTCTTCTGCTTGGAGTGTGTGTTGCTAGCATCGCACCTAACTTAACTTGTTTCCCAGATTGACTATTGACCGTTGAACTAGACGAGGGTCGGCAGTGCATCGGTCGGAAATCGAACCTCACAGCACCTGTTTATTTGGCGAGCAATCTACCACTGGACCACCAATGGGCTATAAAGATGAGTTACTGAAACAATTTGAAGTCAAGTTGCATCTGAATCAATTGCAATTATATTCCAAACATACCCAGAAAGTGTCGATATTGGTCAAAGTAAATGAAGATGGGATTTTTCCTTATGCTCCAACTAGTCTTGTTTCATAAAGTCCCACAGCAAAATGATCACTCTCACTAGTGAAGAACATTTTTCTGATCAAGAGTTTAATTTTGGAAAACAATTCGCCCCTTACTGTCTCCCATTATACAACATCATTTGACTCATTTTCACAATTTATTACACAGTTCTGATAGAAAGTTATGGAAAGTAAGTCATTTTTGCTGACCTCTGCCTATTTGTACTCCTAGAACTAATAAGAGATGAATTATATATGTTCAAACCAAGTTAATTTTTAACAGTTTGAAAAAATTTGGGCAATGGGTATATGATATTCATTATAATAAAGGTGCTTTGTATTTCCCAATGAATGAAAAATGAGAGATAAACTTTAA